AGCCCCCCGGGGCCGGTACGGCCCTCCGTCCCGGCGCTCGGAGTACAGAGTGATCGTCTCGGGTGAGTCATGTCTCTCTCTTGGCCCAGGCGCTCCCCCGGGGTCCCCCAGGCAAGCTTCCCAGCGAGGGGTGGTGCCGCTCCGAATCGTTTCTTAAAAAGCGTCGTCTCGCGTAGCCTGGGAGGAATGCTGTCCGTACGCTCCTAACGGCTCCCTGATTGCTTCCTCAGTAGTCTCTTTCGTTAACTGCGAGCCGACGCTGTAACTACAGAGGTTGAGAATATAATCCGGTTTTAAAGCAGTGTCTTGCTTTTTATATAGGACTGCCTCCAAGTGGAAGTTGGCAGGATTTAAAGGATCACATGCGTGAAGCAGGTGATGTATGTTATGCTGATGTTTTCCGAGATGGCACTGGTGTCGTGGAGTTTGTACGGAAGGAAGATATGACCTACGCTGTGCGAAAACTGGATAACACTAAATTTAGATCTCATGAGGTAGGTTTCATACTTACTTGCTTTGGCCAGAATTGGATACAAGGGGCTTAACAGTAGGATTTGAAGGTAAGGAATGTGTGGTATTCATTGTCTATATACAAAGCAGCTAAGTAAGTCTGTGGCTGGTTTGTCAGGAGATAGACTTTAAAGCTTCGATGTCTATTTCCATGCTGTAGTAAACGGTATCTTCAGTCTGTCAGCATGCCTAAAAAGATGGCCCTAAAGCCTAGACTTTTCAATCGAAAGTTCTGTCTGTTCAATAGGGAGAAACTGCCTACATCCGTGTTAAAGTTGATGGCCCAAGAAGTCCAAGCTATGGAAGATCTCGGTCACGCAGCCGTAGTCGTAGCAGAAGCCGTAGTCGAAGCAACAGCAGAAGCCGCAGTTATTCCCCAAGAAGAAGCAGAGGATCTCCACGCTACTCTCCCCGCCACAGCAGATCCCGATCTCGTACATAAACGATCACTAGCTCTGATCTTTTTGTAGAACCCCATGTTGTACACAGTTTTCCTTTACTTAGTACAGTCTTTCATTTTTTTTTATTCAAACTGTTTTATTCAAATTGGCTGAAGTGTTGAATTGCATTTTTGTGTAAAATCCCTAGTGAGTATTTGCTCCTTAACATCAACATTCCCCTCACGTCTTTGGTAAATTGTATTTTAATTGATGTCAGTCAGGATTGTTTCAATTTAGTTCTAGTTAAATACCAACATTCTTCAAACTGTGGTATTGCTGTGTAAATGTCTCAGTGTTCAGCTATGGTTTATACGAGCTGGGGATGTTGGGATGTTTGTGGCTAACTTGTCTCTTCTGGGGGATCTTATATTTTATCTTGCCTTTTCGTGTGTCTTTCTGTAGACATATCTGAAGAGATGGATTAAGAATGCTTTGGATTAAAGGATTGTGGAGCACATGTCAATCATTTTAGGATTGTCAAAAGGAGGATTGAGGAGGATCAGATCAATAATGGAGGCAATGGTATGACTCCAAGTGCTATTGTCACAGATGAACTTGGCAGTATTGACCTTATACTGAGAGACAGGTTAATTGAGTATGTGCACCTATGTGTCACTTCAGGCATGTTCTAGTTACTGCAGGCTGCAATTGCTCTTTTCTTTAAAACTTTTTTTGGGGGCAATTGTGGTTAAATACTTGCTTTTGTAATTCTTTATTCCATTTTAGTTTTTTAAAGGAATAAACTGGGACGGGGTGGGAGTATTGGTTTACTTTGTCATGCAGCATTTGGTTACAAGTGTTAATGTTATGTAGTACTCGTACACTTGTAGTAGATGAAGGGTATCTTTAAATCAGAGTATAATATCAATACTGCTAAAATCTGCATGTCCTCTGTGTGACTGATACAGCGTTGCTATTTCATTTTTATAAGTATCAGAATGAAAGCAAAAATAGAAAACCTAGTTGGGAATAATTTCTTAAGTCTCAGCCCTGTCCCTCAGACTAATTCACAATTGACTGACCAATATGTTTGAAAACTCCAGTTAGTTAATTTTGTTACCTTCCAGCTGGGAGTGCTAGCTGTAGTTTAGACATACAGTAGGTGGATAGCTTTAGCCGTAAGCTTTTCCAGTTTCATAAACATTTTTTGCAACCACAAAACCTGTAGCACACCACCGTATGAGCAATGAGTATGTTGGCATTTTCAGTTGACATATTGTAAATATTACAATGTTTCCTCCAAATAGTAATTAACGTTTCTAAAAATTATCTGAGCATCGCCATTCAAAAGTTTGTTTTTGGGGAATTGATAGTTATTAATGTACATCTGTATTAATTGATGGCAAACATAACTGATCATTCCCCAGAATCCTATTTTTTCATTACAGTATCTAACTTTTTGCCTCCTCTTTTTTGGTTTTGCTGGTTATAAAGGTTTGGATTGGAGAGGGCTCACTGGATCCCAATCCTTGGAGCTGGATCATTGGATTCAAATCATAATGTGGATAGGATAGGGAGGCTGAATTACAAGGATTCATGGAGCGGGATCAAATTACCAGGAACATAGGAGTGGATTCCTGCCCCAACCAAACCGCATTCGTGTGGATTTTTTTTATTCAACTCAATTGGCTATTCCAAAGATATTTTTTTCCTATTTTTGACGATTGGAGCCCTTAAGATGCACGATGGAGTTTTTCATTTTTTTGGTAAAAGGAGCAAAGCGAGGACCTGGAGAGGTACGCTGGAGCAATCTCCTTGGAAGGATTCAGCACGAGTAGATGGTAAACGTTAAAGGGGAAAAAGGGGGGTTTGTTTAAAAAAAAAAAGTAAATCAATAAGTCATTTCTCTAAATTTAAAGACAAAAATTGGAGTTAAAGATTAAGTAGGTTTTCAATTGGCTATTGCCTTTTCTTTGACAAATAAAATTTTTAAAAAAACATGCATGGTTGTCATCATTTGTTACTAAGAATCTTAGTCTTTGCTTGCCACTGTAGCATTGTTAAATCGCGAGTTTTCGGACAAAAGGCTTTTGTGTTCAACAGAGATGTAGTGTTTCACAGGAAGCGTTGATGTTTGAGCTTCTAAATAAAGGATTGGTTCCCTAGGAAATGGGTGGAATCTATTGTATGAGTAAGGGAAAGGGGGAAAAGAATTCTCACTGCTCAAAAGGGGACGCTTTAATATTAATGTTGTTGCTAACGATACTCTTCTAAAGAGATGCCAAAAAGAAAATGTGAGGTTAATGGGGCTCAGTGCTCCCCCCACAACCCTCTTGAAGATAAATACGGGTAGAAATAGTGCGTGTAAACCTTCCCAGTGCCTGCGATCCCGAGGGTTGGCAGCGTGGAGGCAGTGTGCAGGAGGCGAGTAACACTGTGGTTATTGAGGCGCCGGGTCGCTAGTGGCAGGTCGCTGGGTGTGATCACTGAGCCGCTGCTGGCGTAGGCGCAGGGTGATGGCTCCCCTGCGGTGTGCGCAGCTTGTGGCCAGGCCCGGGAGCGCGGCACCTTCCTTAGGTGAATGTTCTCATCGCTTTATGGGAAGTACATGAGTATTCCTTTGGTTGTCTGATGAAATGATGTTGCTTATGTCTCAGTATGTTTAATTTACAACGAATTAAGAGAGCGAAGTGTCAGTGCAGAGCAGAGGGGCATTTAGTTCTACAGGGTACGATTACCAGTTTGTAGGACTGTCCTAGGGAGTGCAGAGCTGGTGGGGACCAGGTTAATTTTTAAATAGGGTACTTGTCTTGAACGTGTGCTGTGCTTGACAGAAATGGATGGCTGCAGGTTGCCCCTGTATGGCAGGGAAATGGAGCGCCCTGTATGGAGCGGGGCAGGAGGGTTGCTGTATTGTAAAATGGGATTTGTGTTTGGGGCAGGATTAGCAGATGTGGGTTTCAAGTGTGGCACGCTGGCACACTAACACCCTGAAGGGTGCTGTGTATGGTGACACAGTAGTTTGTTGCTTCCCTGCAGAAATACTGTATTGCCAAAGATGGCTATATGAGATACATTTTTTTTCAAAAATGATGACATCCTGAGAGTGAAGCACTATATTTGGTGAGGGGTGTGTAGAAGCCATGTTACGGACAGGACAGCCTGACCTTAGACGCTTGAGTGGCTGCGAGATGCCAGATGGGAAGGAAAGGAGAAGGGCTGTAGGGGTGAGCAGGGTCAGCTGGGGGAGTGTGAAGGTGGGGTGGCTCTTGCCAGAGAAGTTTGTTAGTCTGGATGTGGGAAACAAGGGAGCAGAGTGGGCAGCACATGCTTGACAGCACATAGATGTGTGCTGTTGAAGAAAGGGGATGTTTGACCCAAAGAAACCCCAAACCCTTCTGGGCATTGATAAGTTCTGTCACCTGTGTTCAAGCCAGGTGAAACTGGAGCAGTTTTAAAGCACAGGTTATGAATGCGCTCAGGGAGGCAAAACGTTTTTTTTTTTTTTCAGAAAAGGGAACCTGACGAGTTTGGCGTCACTGGACTGAAGTGTTTGGAGAGGATTGCTTTCTGATGGCGCAGGGCTTGGGAGCAAAGTAAACTTCATGGGGGAGGAAGAGTGAAGGTGGCCGGGGCCCTGGTTACAGTCCCCTCTTTTGAAATATGAGAATTCAAGCCCAGGCAGAGCCGGTGGTTCTACACGAGTTCATAAGGAATTAATTAACGTGCTGGAGCACTAAATTTAAGGGGTGGTTCAGCTGACTTCAAGATACAGAAGTATGTGTACAAGCTGTAATGTCAGAGGTGCAGGAGGCTTTAAAAATGTCGGGCTTGGTGCTGGCTCTGGGGAGCTGGTGAGGGGTGAGCGTGGACAGGGTTGGTGCTTCAGCTCTGGCTTCTGTTGTGTGCAGCTGAGCTCTGTGAGTGGGAAATGCTTGACAATTGTTTGCTTCAGAGACTGTCTCAGAGTGGTTTGCAGCTGTAGTAAACATCACCCGGGGAAAGGCCGTTCCTCCCCGGGGGAGCGCGGCAGGGCACTGAACTCTGCCGAGGAGGCGGCGGTAACACCAGCGTTTTTCTGTGCTGGGACCTGTGGACCTTGTCACCCTCGTGCAAAGCTCCAGACGTTGAGTTCCTACAGAGCCAGTGGGCATCGCACCTCTGCGAGAAGGCTGCTGATCCTCCCTGTTAGCAGAAACGCTGCGTTTTCATTTCAGTTGGAAAACAGATGGGAATGGAGCAACACTGGAGTTCTTTCTCTTGTTCTGGCTTTCTGCACGGAAGGGAGAGAGGCCGGGTCGCTACGGCAGACGACCTGCTGCTCCATGTTCCTGCCGCTGCACATCCACCTCAGCGTCGCGCGTGCTGCGACCAGCCTGTTCCCCTTGTTCTCCCCGTGTACTTCATGTTGCTGTTCAGCGCTCGTGTTTGTAAAACGCTTTGAGATCCTGTAATAAAACTGTTCACAGTGCGGAGCTCTAGTGCCTTTCATGCCTCTAGACCCTTTTTTCCTGTAAAATCTTTTCTGCTGTCGTACTGTTAACAGCCAGACATGCAGTTGATGGAGCAGCAAAGCCCACTTCACTGGGTCAACCAAGGCTTTCCCCCAGTGCCTTGTGTTTCAGTTTCTGGTTCTCATCTGCAGCAGCCAGCTCACCGTCTTCAGGGGGAGTATCATGTTCTCCGAGTGACGTAATGGACTTTACAAATAGAGGGATTAAATTAATATCTTGGAAACGTGCTATAAACCGGTTTGGATAGTGCGAGGAAAAGTTAGGTGGAAGAGTCTGTGCCTCTCTAATTACGCCAGGTCACTATGAGTTCATTATTACCGAGATGGTTTGGAGTCAGCTGCGTGGTGGAGCAGTCACTCTCCCCAGGCATGGCCCGGGGAGCCCTGCGCCACCTCTTCCCCCCCCTTCGGCTTCTTGGGCTGCGGATGAAAATGAGCCTGAGTCGGTTTAACTTCCCTCACAGGGAACGCTGGCTTCCAGGCACACACCTCGCCAGCAGCCGCTCGCCCAGAGCTGCGGCCATTGCGTAAAACTTGCTTCAATTTATTTTAATGTCTTCCATAAATTAGTGGAAATAGGTTCCGCTGGAAGGCAGCAGTCAGACCGCGCTAGCTGTTGTGCCGGCGCTTGTTCTGGGAATGTATTTTCTAGCATTTAAACAGGTGAAAGTCAAGGCACCAGGTGTCTTTTTATTAAATACATTCTTCCCAAAACTCAGTGTTTTCAAGAGTCCGTTGGCCCTGAAGAAAACTGAAAGTGGCAGCAACTGGAAGATGAAACGCCTTTGATAAAGCGGCGGGTCAAACCAAACTTAATCCCTCTCCTAAATCCTTTCGTTTGCCATCGCAAGGACAGAAGCGGGCGGGTTTCCCGGCCGGTTGCACATCCCCGGTGGAAGCGGGCAGGTAGCCGCCGGCCATGGT